ACACACACACACACACACACACACACACACACACACACACACACACACACACACACACACACACACACACACACACACACACACACACACACACACACACACAGTACTTACGCAGCAGGGTATAGGAGTTGGATAAGACGTGAACAGCGTATCTACCCTGAGAGAGGAGTCCCGGCAGAGAGAGGCGGCGCCGCAGACCCTCCGCCTCCTCCTCGCGGATGTCCCCGGTGCTGGAGCTCTTCTTGGCCTGGGTGGAGTCTTCGAGGCGGACGCGCTCCGCGGTGGTGTCGCCCACCAAGACCCCCGTTATCCCTGCGGGGACGCCGGCCCTCGCCACTCCTGAGGGGAGGTAGGTCATCATCTTCTTTAGCGACAGGGCCTCGTAGGTGGAGGCGACCCGCTCCCCCACTGCGGAGGCGCAGGAGGCCACCAGGCTGTTGAGGGCGGAGCTGGAGGAGGTCAGAGCCCCTGCTGATGGCTGGAAGACAGACACAGAGCAAATGGTAATATAAGAAATTCACAATTATTGATTAAGCTATTATTGATGTTCTTTTTTCCCTACAGTCTAACTCTCCTCCAGCTGTTACCTTGGTGACCGGCTCGGCCTCCGTCAGCTTCTTCAGGTATTCTTTGACGGCCTGCTCATCTGGATACGGTGAACTCTTGACCCCCGAAACACTTCCTTCTTTAGATTCAGCCGAGGAGTCAGAGCCTGAGGCTGGGGGTCCTTCATTTGCGAGCACTGACTCCTGTCCTTTCTCTGAGTCCTGAGCGGGGTCAGAGAAGGGGTCAGGGGAGGGGGAGGTGTGTGAGGGGAGGGAGGGCTCTGTTTTGAGCCCTTGTGTAAGAGCAGGGGCCTCGTCCTCCTTCAGCTCCACCCCGAGGGGGCAGTAGTGCCCGTCAGAGATGATGACGTGGTCCTCCTTGTCCGTCATGGTGTACAGCAGCTGGTGACACTGTCTGCATTTGTCCACGGGGGGCCGGTGGAGGTCCTGGGGGCCCAGGCAGCGCACCAGAGCCAGGCTGTGTGAGGCCCCGCAGGCCACCTGTAACACACACCTCCCCGCAAAGTGCTCCACCTTCTGGGGTTTCCAGACGGGGAAGACGGAGACGTTGAGGCCCAGCTGAGAGCCGCTGCCCCAGGCCCACACCTCCCGCTGCGCCGACAGAGCCAGGGTGTGTCCCCCGCCGCAGGCCAGCTCCAGTACTGGGACCGTCAGCGGGGGGGCGTTGTCGGAGTCCAGCAAAGCGACCGGAGTCGGGTTGGGGACGCTGCTGAGGCCCGAAAGGCCGCACTGTCCCGAGCTGTTGTCCCCCCACATGTGGACCCCCCCGTCCTCCGTCACCGCCCCGCTGTGGAAGCTTCCGGCTGCGACGCTGACCACCCGCTGCCCGCTGAGCGCCCCCTCCAGGGTGGGCTTCGACGGCTCCGACACCTGACTCTGCTTCCATGGTAACTCCCCAAAACTGTACACCTGCCCTCCTGAATTTGGAGCAACAACAACAATAAAATCAAAAGATGATAAAGGAGGTTTTCTTATGAAACGTTTTAGAAAGCAGATATTTAGAGGAAGCTGTTATGTCATGAACATCGTCCTGGATCCTATATTATATTAATTTGTATAACACTGTTGTTAATATTTAGACAAATTAGACAAACGTGTATACGACTTTGTTTGCAATTTGAAAAAAGTTCATTTAAATACCAGTCCAAAGAATAAGGATTTATCTTAACTAATAGAGCCAAAAACATTTGAAAGACATGTCAATGCAACTACTCTAAAAAACGTTACCTTCAACCAACAGAACGCCATGCCGTGTTCCCAGGGCGACCTGAAGGACCGGCCCAGGGAGGAGCAGCCTTTCTGGGGTGACACTGCAGGAGTAGCCCTTCCAGGTATGGAGCAGGCCTCGCTCTCCACCACCGTCATCCTCGGAGCTGAGAGAGACAACATCAACAAAATAAAATAAAAGCCTTTATGGTCATTGAATAGGATACAAAAAAAATAGTAGTGTACTCCTGATCAGTGCGGGGCATATAAAAGTCCAGAATACCGCAAAAGCAAAGAAACAAACCCAGACGCAGAGTACAAATAATGTAATATTGCAATATAAGAGTAAACTATTGCACTTCAGAAAATGTACTTTTTGCACTAGCATAGACATACTAAATATAGGCAATATAACATGTACTTTTACACCATGAAAAGTAGAGTTGGAATCAATCATTTGAAAATATAGCGTGTCAACCAGATTTGTAATGAACCATCAGGTGCCAAAATGATGGAGGATCCTCCCAAACTATTTGCTCATCTTTTGGAAACTGTATGAAAGGTACCCCTAAGGGCTGCTAACAGAAATGTCATGAGAACATAATGTCCTTCATTCAGCAAACCAGACAGCAAATACAGTATTGGGTCAGACACGAGTGAAAGTACATAAAGCAGAACTCAGTCCCCTCTCCTGTGCAGCATCTGAACAACTGATGTGTTGTGGGGGAAAGCAGAAGTGTGCTCCTGTAGGCGGCATCACATGGGGGTCACACCAAGCCTGCCAGCAACAACATGTGTCGAGCAGAATAATCCTCTCTTAGAGCCACAGACATACCTCTTCCTCTCCATCAGGGGGTTTATGTCTCCATTTTTGACGCTGCTGCTGTCGAACAAAACACACACCATTAGCGGGAAACCGTCATGCTAGCTTTAACGTTGCTGTCAGTGCATTACAAAGTCAGTTTTCCTTTCCTTTTGAAGGAAAAAACAACAAGAAAATGAATCCAAATGAAAGCAGTAATGGTTTCCTTTTCAAGTGTTTTAAAATACTTGTACATGCTTCATTTACTCCCAAATTATAACATCAATTTTTTGGTACCTGTGGCAGGTGTCACCATCTGTCACTAGCTGTTGTTAGCTAGATAACTGTCAATCCTGCTAGCTAAAGATAAGCTAATCAGCTTTGCTAACTAGCCAAACCTCTAGCTAACCACAGGTGTATTTTTTTCATATAAAACGTCCTCTTTCTTACCAGCTGCCTTCACACAGCTCTCCTTTATGTGCTCGGTCGGACAGGAGAGAAAAACACACGTCTGTTATTAAGTTGTTTAGCAGCTAACCGCCGCTGCTTGTTGTTCATCTCTGTAATGTTGACACTGCCAAAGATCGTCTGTAAACAGAAAATCACGCTCACAAGGGTCGTTCTTTCGCTTTCAAGCTATTACAGCCGTACACCAAAACAGCAGCAGAGTGAGACTTCTCTATATTTATCTACTCTTGGATTTTTTCTTTCTTTCTCTGGCTGGAGTTGCTCGCTGACCCCACCTGGTGGCGGAAACCGTGCAGCACAATCACAAACTTTTATACACGGAACAAATCTAACAATATGACAGTGAATCTTAAGTTTTGTGTATTTTATGAGTTTATTTCCTTTTTAAAATCACTTATATTAGTGGAAAATAACAATAAAAAATGATATTGTATATTAGAAATTGATTTGATTGTATGTATTTAGTTGTAGGCCTGTCATTTTTATATTTTTCAGTTTTAGATTAGTTAATTTAATTTCTCTGTATGCACCTGATCGTATTAGTCCATTATGAATATTTTTCAAAGCCACCACAGTGAAGTAGCCCAGCCCCAGAAACAGTAAACGTGATTTGATCTCACGCTGATGACTGCTAGCCTATAATTATAATGTATACTGGGAGGGTGTCTAATCCAGCAGTATGAAAACGCGAACCGGGACTGCATGAGATGGACAATGGTAGAACAAACGCGGAATACCTTAAGGACAAACTGAGCTTTGATTTTAAATAATTGGAGTTTATTTATATTGATTCAAATGGAGCTGAAAATACATTTCACCCGGACTTTAGCGCTATTCCTCCTCTGGATCGGCATCATCTCCGGTGAGTGGGATGGACTAATGTCCGCAGATTAAATTATAACATTTGAATTGAGATGCATCAGCATTAGTTTTCTTATTTAAAAAAACGGTTTTAATGTTAATGTGGCAGGGTGGTGCGTTTGAGTGTTAATATTATACTAAAATAGGATTTTTTAACACAACACAAGAAATCAGGACACAGGTTCTTTAATTTAGGGGCAGAGACGTGTTTCGAAATAAAGTCATTTGTATTTTAATGCACTCAAAAGAAAATGAAACTCAGGAAATGTTGCTATAAGATAAACTCGTTGGTTAGAAAAACAAGAATTATTCAGTTTAAAATTATCTTTATTTTAGCAAGTGTTAAAAATGTGTACCTAAAATGTAACACTAAAAGTCTATATAAGCAAATCTAAAGCTACATTCAGGAGCTCTACTAGTTAATAGCAAGCTATAGCCTCCTGTGGTATGAAAACACGTTTATGAAATGTACTCAGTCAGGAATATATATATATTTAACATTTCCAAGTACTTTTAACAATCTAATCGTCATACTTCTGCAGTATTATTCTAAAAAGGGTGTATCAAGTCAAATATGTCTAATGTTCACTGTCATGTATTCTTTGAGTGATTTTTATAGACTTCCCAAAATATATGTTGTTATAATTCTTCATGGTATTTGTACGGTATAATATGGGCAGTTTTAAAACCTAAAGGTAACAAAAAACATACAATTGTAATATTGTTGTAGTGTCCATCATTTTATTAAAGCACTATACATGAAACCAAAACAACAAAGTCAAAAATATTTAAATGAACCAGATGTTCTGCAGTAACTTGAAGCATGCATTCAGAATGCAAAAATAATAATGTTTATAGTACATAATATCAAAGACGCCTCTACATTCAGACCTATCATCAAGACAAGTGAAGGAGCAATTTGATACAGCTGGAGAATTGAATAAGTTATTAGATATAACAGGTATAACAAATACAATATGGAGTCAGTGATACGTTTTGGACAAAGTCTAAATCCTGCATTGTAATCCAACATGTTTCTCGTCCACCTGAAACATAATTTTCTCGGGTATAAATAGGCAATATATTCACAAACACTGGCATTACACACATTTGCACAGTTTGTGTTTTTTGCACAAGCTAATCCTAAATAGCTTTCCGGTGATGCCAGATCTCGCCTGCCAGAGAGGAGGCAGAGAGATTGCTGAAAAGAGGATTTTTTTTATTCATTTAACCTGCATGACAAATCAAATTAACACAGACACAAAAGGTTGAACACTTGGACTCAGAGAGGTTTATTTCAAGCATGAAATTATTAATCTGATGAGTGATGGCTGCTGGGAAACTTGGCTCAGTGTTGATCAGTGTTAACTTCAATTATCTCTTAGTGATAGAGATATGCTGTGTGGCATAAAATTAAATCGAAGTGCAGTGGATCGCAGTTTGACCCTGGGACATTTTATGAACAGTAAAGATACGGTAATTGCTTTTTCCCTGGAGAATAGACACTGATACTAATTTGTTCAACTGTAAATGCTTTGGTTGAGCATGAAGGGGAATAAAGGAAATAACTCTTTAAACCTTGGGGGACAGGAAGGTGACGAGATGAATCAGAAACACCAGTTAAAACTAACAAAATTAGCATGAAGGAGAATAGAAATGCAAGTTGGAGTTAAAATACTCTGTCAAATGTATAAAATAAAAATAGTAAAAATACATTAGATACTCAAATTCGTGTTTTACTGTACAATATGTGGACAAGACAGAGATCACTAATGGCAATAATATTGTTTATCGCAATTATATCTGGGAGAATATATCGTCCCACCAGGCTTGTGGAGTAACGGATTATACAGTATGTAAAGGGATTATGTAATCAGCATACCAAAGAAAGTAACTGTATTCCCTTACAGATACAGTACATACAAAAAAAGATGTAATCACATTACTGTTACTATTTAGAAACATGTTTCAAAATGAAATGGGAAAACTAAGACAGATCTTGAGATGACAAAATAAAACACAGACAGATCGTGACAGTAGGTGCACACCTGATTAATTAAAACAAAAATAATGTTTGCTTTTTATACATTAAACTAAAACACTTTTTGTAAGCTCTACCATTCTGTAGGTCTATATAGTACACCGACTGAAAGATTGACTTTAATTAGTATGTCAACAGATTTCACATAACTGTATCAGGTTAGATGAAAGCAATAATATTAAGTTGAACCTATTCATATTATTGCTTTCAACTAACCTAATACAGTTATGTGAAACCCGTCGACATTTGGTCCTCTTAAATATCTTGGTATCTTCTTTTCTAAGGTCACATTGTTCTGTTGTCTGACATAACACACTTCAGTAAAAAACATCTTGTTGATATCTCTTTCTGTTCTGCATTGTGTCTGTTGTCGAGGTTATCCAAAAGTAACAGAAAGTAATCAGGTTACATTACTTTTAGATTGTGATACTTGGGTTAATGATTACATTGTGTACAGGTAACTAGTAATTGTAACAGATTACATTCTCTCCTCAGGTCAGGCTGAAGACTGGACACGTCTCCACACGGAGGACGCTCTCTTCAGGAGTCTGTTCGGACGATACAGCAAGTGGACGCGTCCGGCACGGAACGTCTCAGACGTGGTCATCGTGAAGTTCGGCCTCTCCATCGCACAGCTGATCGACGTGGTGGGAACACATATCTGTAGATTACAAACTGATTTGATTATAAAGAATGAATCCTCACCAATTCCACATTTTGTGTCACTGTTTGGCTCCAAAACAGGATGAGAAAAATCAGATGATGACGACCAACGTGTGGCTGAAACAGGTATGAAAGAAGGGATCAGATATTTTATTAAAAACAGTAATACCACATAATGTTACAGGTAAATGTCCTTATTACTTTTTTTTTACTTACGGTAAGTAAAAGTATCAATATACGTACCCAAACTAAAAGTAAGTAACAATGCTTGTTTTGGATTAAAATACATTATATCACTGGATTTTAATGCATTAATGTCTTCATTATTATATATCAGGAGCTGGTAAAAGATAGAGCTTAATTAAATGTATTTTTTTTACTGCCAAGTTTCTTAATCCATCCTAGTTCATTGAACCTGCAAAGTAACTAATGTTGTCAAATAACTGTAGACTACGATATTTGCTTCCATTGTAGTGTACAATAAGTCAAGAAAATACTTCAAAATGTACTTTCCATCACTGAGTTGAAGCTATAAGCACCTGACCAACGATCACACACATGTGAGTTCAAGATAGCTGATTAACGAGTCAATCTTTTGTACTGATATTCATTACTTTAGTATGAAATCTATACCACTAAAAGTGTTTTTCTTTGTCGTAAAATGTATGTATTTGTTGGCAGGAATGGACTGACTATAAGCTACAGTGGAATCCGTCTGACTTCGACAACGTGACGTCCATCAGAGTCCCGTCTGAGCTCATCTGGGTGCCAGATATTGTGCTGTACAACAAGTAAAAAAGTTCACACATTCAACACCACAAATCATCCCTGTTTATGAACTCAGATAATACAAAAGAATAAAAAACAAGTAAACCATTAATACACAAAAACGAAATATACTGGACAGACTGAACTCAGAAAATCGTACAGTAGTTAAAAGACAATGACACACGTACTTAGACAGTTACATTTGGGTGAGGTAGTTTTGTGTAAAAAGTTACTAAACTTTAAATGGACACTAAAGTACGAGGAAGTCTTGTTTCTAAGTATTTTTCTACCCCTAAAAAGCTGTTAATTATCATTTTTCGGATATAAACTTAAACATAAATCCATCTCAGGACTGTTAAACAGGCTCCACTTTGACTGTCTGTAGGTGGAGATGAAATGATCTGTAGTGATCAATTACCCGCTTGATCCATAACAACGTCCTCATCTGCTGAAGAGCGTATGAGGAGGCGAGGTCACCTATGCGGCATTTCTGCATTTCAATTCGGAATACATGCAAATGATCCTGTTGAATAAATGACCAGGATTCGACTGCCTCTGCGCAGCGATGTTGCATCACACAGTTTCAGTCTGGTTTCCTTTCCCCAGAGGAAGTATTAATCCTTAAATGTGTCTGGATGGAGCGGAAATGTTCTCCTCCTTCAGCATTTGTGTAAATGAGCTTGCATCATGAATACAGGGCATTAGCATTCAGTGATCAATTATTAAAAGTGGAATAGCTTGAGGTTTATAAATTCACCTTTAGAGTTTGAAACTCGAACAAAAAACATCTAGAAAACCTCCTTTTTAGGCCGATAATGCCTCAATATTTGTGTCAGATTTCTTTATTTTGTTTTCCAGTGC